TAGAGCAGGCTCACCTCGAAGACATCCGCCGTACACCAGGGATGGGCGGCAAGACCGCCTGCCAGTGGCAGCGCGCGCTGCGCGCCGAGTGCATTGTCAACTACTTGTCGTTCAAAGACGTAACAAACGACCTTCCTACGACTGGAAGCAACTGCTTCGGTCTGCCGCTCCGGGTTTCGCTGAGCGCATAATCGGGCAGGGCATCGCCCAGGTTCTCTTTCGCATCATCGAGACAGAGCGCGACCCTCACTACTCCAACACGGATGGCCACGGCAGGCACTTCTTCGAGTTCCGTCGTGCAGACGGTTCAGCCATGCGCCTGCATTACCATAAGAACGGCCGACCCGATGAGCCCACCTATGTCGGTCCACCACGCTCCGTTGCTCAGCCTGCCGTGCCTGAGCCTGGCGCTGCTCAGCCTCATGTTCCTCGTGGCGGCGCTGCTCAGACTGCCGTGCCTGACGGTGGCGCTGCTCAGCCTGCCGAGTCTGGCGGTGATGCCCCACTGCTCTTCACACAGGAGCACCTGCAAGAGGCAGCCTGCTCGCGCCAGATTGTGGGCCGCGACGAAGCCAGCGCCGCTCTCCAATCGCTGTTTCACTACCACCATGGCGAGACTGCCCCAGGTGCTGTTGACATCACCGATGGCTCAGCATTTGACTGGCTTCGATGGGTGGCACATATCGAAGGTGCGCGCGACGTCATCCGCAATGGCGTCCACAGGGTCTACGCTGTCCGCTGGAATCCGCACTGGGCTCCAGAGGCCGTCTTCTGATACGGCAACAACACCTACAGCACACTGGTGCCCCGCAAATCGCGCTACACAGGCTCGTGGAGCCACGCGCGAATTGTGACTCACCGGAACGCCAATTGGGTGACCGAACCGTTGCTATCTGCGGCCCCTGTGGCAGCTACGCCGTGGCTGGTGTTGCGGGATCAAATAACCTGGGAGTGATCTCTGGCAAACGAGATGTGGTGCTTCTCAGCCTGCACTCATGTGACACGCAATGCCGTGCCCTGCAATCGCGTGGTGTTTCTCAGCCTGCACTCGCAGGTCCTTCGGAGGTCAATTGTTATGAGTTCGGCACGGTCTCGGTCAAGTACAGCGTGCTGTGGGGATCCCGAGATGGGGCCTGGCTCAAGGTGCTCAAGACGTACTGGAGTGTCCCAGAGCCGGAGTGCCAGCTGATCCTCGGGAGTTGGAACGGCATTTTCAGGCCGTGGCCGGACACGTTCTGGATCAGGACGGGGGGGTCCGAGCCCGAGATAGATGCTAGCGCTCTGCAGTACAAGTGCTTTTTTCAGCATGCGACATCCTGCGGTGCTTCTCAGCCTGCAGGGTTCGCAGCGTGCGGTTTGCAATGCATTCCTTTTCAGTATGCGAGTTCCTGCGGTGTTTCTCAGGTTGCAGGGCTCCGAGGCTCTTCCCTTCGATGCCAATGTTTTCAGACACCGTAGCTCCGTTCCGTAAACATCTTCCAAGAGCCGCTCGCAACTTTTTGCAGCTGGCGGTCTGCAGACGTAGTCTGTCTCAGCATGCGAGCTCCCGCACGCTTCGCCGGCTTTTGCTGCGCGGACAATTTTCTCACACACGTCAGCGCCGTTTGTAGGCGTCAGAAAAACATGTAGACATTCACGAAGGGCTCAGTCTGTATATCGTCACATCATTACATACGCAGTCGTCGAACACATCGGTGTACATTCAGCGCTTTGTCCTTCTAGCTGGGTCGCTTCGTGCTGAGGCTGAGGCTGATGCAGGCTGAGGCTGAGGCAGGCTGAGGCTGAGGCCGAGGCCGACGGCAGACTGAGGCTGAGGCTGAAGCAGGCTGAGGCTGAGGCAGAGGCAGGCTGAGGCTGAGGCTGAGGCTGAGGCAGGCTGATGCTGAGGCAGGCTGAGGCTGAGGCTGAGGCTGATGCAGGCTGAGGCTGAGGCAGGCTGAGGCTGAGGCCGAGGCCGAAGGCAGACTGATGCTGAGGCTGAAGCAGGCTGAGGCTGAGGCTGAGGCAGGCTGAGGCTGAGGCAGGCGGAGGCTGAGGCTGAGGCAGGCTGAGGCTGAGGCTGTGACTGCGACTGCCGTTGCCACTGCGACTGTCCTCGCGAATGCGACAACGACTGCGAGAACAGCAGAATTCTACAACTGGATTCTCATCCGAATCTTAAGGGGAATGCTTCCAGATATGCTCCTACACATGGCTGTTAGGTTGCTTTGCCGGGATAATCCTGTTCTTTGAGGCCTCCTTGGCGTGCAGGAGCTCTCCTGGGGCCTGGTGGAGCTGGAGGCCCGGAGGGCCCGGGCAGTGCGCAGAGCAGCTTGTATCCCTCCCTCCCCCCCCCCCTCTGGCGAGATTGTGGACCCCTGGGAAGCGGGAGCGAGGGGAGGAGGGGGCACCAGGGGGAGGTCGGACGGGGCTGGGACGACAACAAATCAGCTCCAGAGCGTCCCGGAACGCTCTCAGCGCGTTCCCGAACGTGTTGAGAAGGCCGCGGCCCCCGAGTCATTTTGCAGAGCCGCCGGTTTCGTCTCCGGAGGGGCAGCCAAGTGGTTCCCGCGGTGTTTCCCCCCGGCAAGCGGCGTTCGGGAGATTTGCTCACGCCTGCCGCGCGCGTGGGCCTGCAAGCGGACAAGGAGAATGGAGACCACATTCTTCAGCGGCAGTGATTTTGCGCCGTGCGAGCTTGATGGCCGTCGGCGACGATCTGCTGAGTCTGCCCGAGCTGTTCCCACGGCGCCATAACCGCGGAACCCCCAGCTCAAGCTGAAACAAACAAAGCCTGCGCAAGACATACGATGTAAGAGCCACGGCCAGGCAGCACGTGCATTCCTGGTAGTCCTTAGTTAATTGTTGGCGCTGGGGATGTCACGCCCTCCCTGAACACCCCCAAACCACCTTTCCCTGGCATCCTGAACGCTGAGATCAAGCTTTGGCAAGCAAGCACAGTTCCGATATGAAGAGGCGAAGATGGACACGTAAATGGAATGCATTTCAGTGTGCTTGCAGATTGGTTGCTTGGTATCCCGCCGTCACGGCTAAGAATATGATGGGCATCTTGGGGCGGTAGTTGGTTTGTTCCCTATCCGCTACAAGGCCGACGTGAAACAGTGGCGACAGCGATGACGACGGCGACGACGGCGACGAATGACGACAGACGGCGACGACGAGCGCGACAAACGGCAAGGACGGACGATCACGACGACAGCGGCCAACGACAGACGATGACACGACGAAATTCTGGACGCTTCGCGTATCCCCACCAGTCTCTTGCAGCTCTGCCTTCAGTCCCCGGCGCCGCTCGGCGTCCCTCGGCGGTAGCTCTGGCGGCCGTTAGTTCGCGCGCTTAGGTAATTAGGTTTGACTCGAAGCCCGGGCTGACTTCGGACGCCGCTTGCGCTTCCGCATGCGGCCGCGACGGAAAAAATCCCCACCAGCCCATCCAGAAACGATGTCCAGGCGAGTTGAGGTGATCAGGGACGTGCGGGAGCCAAGAGGGGGACGGCCGAACCGTACAAAGGAGGGAGGAGGAGAAGGAGGACGTTGGATGGATGGATGAGGACGTGGAGAGAAGGAAGATGAATAGGGTGAGGTGGAGGAGGAGGAGGAGGAGGAGGAAGAGAAAGAGTAGGAGAAAGAAAGAGGAGCAGGAGGAGGAGGGCAAGCAAAAGGGCCAGGAGGATAAGGAGAAGGAGGAAGAATAATAATAAAGAGGGCGAACAGAAAGCCATGAGCCTCTTGAATGACTCTCGGAGTCTCCTCTGGTTTCCTTTGGAATCGAAAAGGACGAGGATGAGGAGGAGGCGGAGGAGGAGGCGGGGGAGAAAGAGGAGGAAGGAGGGAGGAGGAGGAGGAGGAGGATAAGGACGAGGACAAGCAGGAGGAGGAGGAGGAGGAGGACGAGAAGGAGAGGAGAAGGAGGAAAACGTGACGCTCAGAAGAGCCTCCTCTGATGTTTCTTGTTTTGTGTGGGGGGGGGCTCTTGGGGCGTCTGGGAGGCAGTTTAGGTGCCTCGGGGATCCTCTTGAAGCATCTTGGGGGCCTCTTGGGAGCCTCTTCGAGGCGCCTCTTGGGGCCCTCTTGGGGCGCTCTTCGGAGCCTTGGACACGCTCTTGGGGCCATCCTGGAGGACATCCATCAAACACGAGGGGGTCCCTCATTAGCGTTGCCCCTCGAGCCTCTAAAATCGCCTCTCGGGACGCTCTTGGGCGCTCTTGGGGCCGTCTTGAGGCTCTCTTGGGCCCCTCTTGGGGCCCTCTCGGGGCATCTTGGAGCCATCTTGAGGCCTCGGATGGCCATCAGAAGCGAAAAGGCGAGAAGGCACAAATCAGTGGTTTCCCTTAGGTGTTGGAAGGAGTTCGGCCTCTTGGCGGCATCCTTGGATGTCTCGGAGGCCTCTTGGAGCCGTCTTGGAACTTTCTTGGATCCTCTTGGAGCATCTTGGAAGCCATTTTGAGGCATCTCGGGCTGTCTTGAGCCATATTGGAGGTGAAGGTGATCTTGGGCTCCCAGAGGCCCTCTTGAAGCCGTCTTGGGCCATCTTTCTTGGACGCTCTGACCGCTCGCGCCCACCCCCGTCGAGGTCCAGGGAAGTGGGTAGGGGGAGGGGCAAGCCCCTCCCCGAGGGGAAAGAAGCGGGTTAGGAGGAAACGCCTCTAGACCACCTTACGCCCTTAGGGGAACGAAAAGTGGCATAAACATAAAAACTCGGAGGTCCGCGCGGATTTCTCGGATCGGCGCTGGGGCCCCCCGGCGGCGCCTCCGGCGCCGCCCCTGGCGCGCTCCGCGCGCCAGGGAGGGGGGTCCAGCGCCGATCCGAGCAATCCGCGCGGACCTCCGAGTTCTTATGTTTATGTAATCTTTCGTCCCCCTAGAAATGGCTGCTGGGATTGCGGACAGCGGCGGCGAGCTCGTGGAGCCCGACGGGGTCGCTGGCGGCTCGCGACGAACGGCGGCGGCGACCGAGCGACCACGGCGGCGACCGGTGACCGGTGGCGGGCGGCCCCGAGGCCGGCGGCGGCCGCTTCGACGAAAGCACGGGCGCCGCGCCCGGCGGGCCGCCCCAGGAGGAAGGAGCAGGAGCAGGAGCAGGAGCAGGAGCAGGAGCAGGAGGAGGAGGAGGAGGAGGAGGAGGAGGAGGAGGAGGAGGCGGAGGAGGAGGAGGAGGGAGGAGGAGAGGAGGAGGAGGAGGAGGAGGAGAGGAGGAGGAGGAGGAGGAGGAGGAAGGAGGAGGAGGAGGAGGAGGGAGGAGGAGGAGGAGGAGGAGGAGGAGGAGGAGGAGAAGGAAGAGGAGGAGGAGGAGAAGGAAGAGGAGGAGGAGGAGGAGGAGGAGAGGAGGAGGAGCACGAGGAGGAGGAGCAGGAGCAGGAGGAGCAGGAGGAGGAGGAGCAGGAAGGAGAGCAGGAGGAGCAGAAGGAGCAGGAGCAGGAGGAGGAGGAGGAGGAGGAGGAGGTCCGTCGCCGCAAGTCGGAGCGGTTGCGAAACACAAGCTTGCCGCGACGTGAGGCGGCGTTTCGCCGATCCCCACGGCAGATAGGCAGAGCACGACTGCTGGTGCAGGCAGGTTCAATGTGCAGTCGCATCTGGATGTCATGCATGAGCGAGTTGCACCTCTGATGCGCGTGCAGCGCAGAGGACGAGGGGGGTGGAGGAGGAGGAGTGCGAGGAGGAGGGAGAGGCGGAGGGAGGAGGAGGAGGGAGAGGAGGAGAAGGAGGACAAGGTTGGTGGAGGAGGGAGAGGAGGAGGGGGAGCGCACCGCTTCGGACAGGTCTCTGTCCAGGCCCGCCGGGTACGGACGCTGGCCGGGCCATCCTCACGGTGGCGAGAGGCGCCGCGTGACAACCAAGGTTGGAACGAAGCTTCCCCCCTGGCGCGGTCGAGAAGGGGACCCCGACTGGAAAGAGTTGGAAGGCCGTGGCGGCGACGGCGTGGCACGCCCCCTCTGCGCGCCCGTGCTGCCGGGAGGCACCGGCTTCTAATTAGCGCGATTTGGCATGCGCGTTTCGGTGCCCCGGGGAAGGTGGCGCCGCGTTGGGGCATCCCCTTCGGCGACCCAGTGCCAGCGCTGCGGAACAGATCGCCAGGTGTTTTCGCCGCGCACGGAAAGTTGGAGAGGCTAGTGCTGGTGATTTCGCGGTGAGCAGCAAGTCGCGCAGGCGGGCTGCGCTTTTTGGAACCTATCAAGAAGGCGTCTCGATTGCTCTTGGATGTTACGCGATATGTGTGTGTGTACACAGACATGTGTGAGAGAAAGAGCGCGCTGCTGCAGCGCCGTGATGCTTGTGGCCAGAGCAGTTTCGCGATGATGGGCAGGTTGTTGCCTGGCCACGGTGATGCGTTGCGTGAGGGCGTGTCTGCGATCGACGGGCTGCGTTGGTGTCGCACGGGTGGTCATGTTATGTTCACCCTGGTGGGTGGCATTGGGGCCCTTGGTTCCCGTTCCTGGGCGAGGCGCGGTCCCAGTGGCAGGATATGCTGCAGTGGAGGGTTAAGTGCGCGCCAGCATTGGCCAACCCACTGGGCTGGGCCGACGAAGCTGGCCCAGAAGGGGCCGCAGTCTGCGACCTTGCGCCTGCCCTGCACAGGTCTTCTCCCAGGCAGTCAATTTCAGGGGCGAGGTTACCCTCAGGGGTCTGGCTGGTTGCATCGGGGGACACGGTGAGGTCAGGTCTGCCTCCCGTGCGGTTCAGCCCCATGCTTGTTTCGCGGTTTCGCGCCTGAGGTGGGCATTCACCTCCTGGAGCGCCGCTGCGTTGTGCCACTTGGGACGAAGAAGTGAGCTTCCATCGTCCGAAGATTGGCCATCATTGTCGTGACTTGCGGGTGGGATGGGTGTGTTTGTCGGATTTGGCGTGTGGTTTTGACTCTGAAGGCGTGCTGAGGCAGCAGCGTTGTCCATACCCCGCGTATCATCAAGGTCGTTGTAGTATTCTCGTATTGGTGGGCGTTGTGAGTCAGGTGGGTCTCCGGCGAAGTTTTGTTGTTCAGTTCCCCGCCCTCGTGCGGCGAGAGATTTGGATTTCATCCGGCGGAGTTCCTACCTGGATTAGCTAAGTCGCGTGTTTGTCAGAGGCAGTGCGTGGTGAAACCGGTCGCACACGGCAACCGCGGTGCCGTGGAGGACAGCCGCGGTTTGATGCCGCCGAGTCAAATGACATCCTGGGGCAGGGAGCGCAGACGGGCTCCAGTTGTTGCTAATTTGTTAGCATTGCGGTTGCAGGCCTCGGCGATAGGAAGTATTCGGCCCTAGTGTATACCTTGCTCACCGAGGCGGCACATGATCTTCGGGACCCTGAACATGCCACTTTTCGCTTAAAACACCCAGCGAGTTCTTTGTCAAAGGTCAGCTTGCGAGCCTTCCGTCCGCGATGGGCCCCCTTCGAGAAGGGCGCCCAGCCCGTCGACAACTTTAACTGTCCACGTCTCTCGGCCGCGGCGGTGAGATGAGGCAGCGCAAGGATTCCGGCGCGTTGCGCGGACTGCGCCAGGCCGCGCGCGCGGGCGGAGTGGTTCAGCCGAAGGACTGGCCCGCAGCACGCTCGGGGGCCCGCCCTGGCCTGGAGCGCGCGGGCCTGGCACGACCGAGCCCCATCCGTGGCCGCGCGGCCCCCTCCAGTTCCTCTTCCTACTCCTCCTCCTCCTCCTCCTCCTCCTCCTCGTCCTCCTCCTCCTGCTTCTCCTCGCCCTCCTCCTCCTCCTTTTCCTGCTCCTTATCCTCACTTTTCCTCTCCTTCTTCCTCCTCCTTTTCCTTTTCCTTTTCCTCCTCCTCCTCCTCCTCCTCCTCCTCCTCCTCCTTTTCATCCTCCTCATCCTTTTCCTGCTCCTTCCTCCTCCATTTCCTGCTCCTTGTCCTGCTCTTCCTCCCCTGGCGGCGGCCCAGGGATGGTCTTGCGGGAGTTCACCTTGGGCCAGGCTGGCCTTGAGAGGCCGAGGAGCTGAGCGCCCTTCTCAGCTGGCCCACAGCGCCGCGTGCACGGAGGGGAGGGCCAACCCATGGCTCCTCGGAGAGCATTGTTGCCAGGGCAGCTCGTCCGGCGGCCGAGCAAGGGCGTCTCCCGGCGGCGCGTGCCTGAGTCTCTTCTTTTTGGCTACACCATCTGCATAGCGGCGCTCGGTCGGCCGAATTCCCCGCCCGCGCTTTCTGCCATTGAGCGCGGTCACCACCGCGCAGGCACTTGCGCATGATGCCGAGTTGTCACGCGGTGCACTCGGCTCAACCCGTGGCCCTCTGCGGCCAAGGTTTGGCGAAGTATTCGGGGCCTGGTTTGATCGCCGCCACGACCCCAGGGTGACGTCTTGCGGTGGGGGGTCGCCGGAAGAAAGATCGCCCCCGCGAAGATCTGAGCGCGCGTGCGAACGCGCCGATGGGCAGATTCAGCCGCGACAGGCGCGCCGCCCAGTCGCCGTTCATCTTGCCGCGGGCTGGCCAGCCCCATTCCAGTTTGCGCGATGGTTTGCCAGACCCTGCATATCGAGTCGCCCCCTCGAGCTGCGCGCGCGTTTGCGCGCTGCGTCGGCCTCGGCGTTGAGGCTGGCCTCTCGCCGGACCTGCCCCCGCGCGCGCAGGGCGGCGCTTCGCGCGGCGTCACGGTGCCCAGTTCCATCGCGCGGCTCGGGGCGACGAGGGCCCGCGGGGCCCGCTGGGACGTCCACGGGCGCCCCCCTGGCGGACGGCGGCACACAGCGCGTCGCGGAACAGGTTGTCAGCACCTGCAGTGCAGGCGCCGGGGGGGGCCCGGCCACCGCGCGGCACGCGCGGGCGTCGGCAGCGCCTGCATGGCCGAGGTCGGCGCCCCCCCGCTGCCGGCGCGACGTCGACGAAGCTCCCAGCCAGCGGCGCCCAGCTGCGTGCTCCGGCGGGCATGGCCGTTCAGCCTGAGGGTCGCCCCCAAACTCCACCCGAAACATGCTCCCTGGGTGGATGTCTCGACCGGGGGGCGGTCAAAAAGGGCGGCTCTGCCAAGCGACGCCCCCAGCCTCCCGGCCGCGGGGGCAGCGGAGTCGCTCTCATTTGCGAACGTGCCGCTCCTTGTTTGCGGCACGCAACGGCGCTGTCGCTCTGCCCGAGCACGCAGAAGCAGTCCCACGTCGCCAAGCAAGAAGAAGCGGCCTCGGAGGCGACCGCTGGCGCGTGAGAGGGCGCGCGAATTTGCCCCTCCCGTGCGAGTACACCCCAGATGGCCGGCGGAGAATCAGCGAGCGAAGAACGGTATAAAATAGACTTTTTCGCTGTCGGGGGCGCCTGTCCCTGGGCGGCTGGAAAGTTTATACCCCTACGGTGCCACTGGTATAAACTTTCCAGCCGCCCCGGGACAGGCGCCCCCGACAGCGAAAAAGTTTATTCTACACCGTTCTTCGCCCGTTAAGAGAAGAACCATCTGTCCAGGGCAAGGCCTGGCGGGCTACCTGCATGCGGCGCGCGGTTGATCGAGACAGACGCCCGGCTAGGTGGTCGCCTCAATTGCGAGGCCAATTTGTATACACCACCACCGCCCACAACAATAATTTTCCGCAAAAAGGGCCAGGGGCAGGGTCATGCCAGACGACGTTGCGACGCCACGGCGAAAAAGAGCGCGGCGCAGCTCGCCGGCGCCGTGGCATGAGGAGTTCTTGAAGCAGAAACAGCACTTCTTGGTGGTGGTGTATAAAGATCGCTCCCCTTGGTAACCAAAATTATATACACCACCACCGCGCGTGCTTTGATGAATTCTGTTTCGGTCCTTAAGAGAGAGGGGGGGCATCCCGGTTGCCGTTGGCGGCGGGGGGCGGGACTGCGGGCTTTTCACCAGAGCAAAACTGCACCAAATCGCATCGCATATTATTATCGATCTTGGTGGTGGTAGTCAGATACTGTGCTCGGATCAATGTTTCCTGTCCGGCGCCGCGCCCGCGACCGGCACGCGCGGGCGCCGACATCGCTGATAGCGGCGCGCGGGACCTCCCCAAAGCTTGCAGGGAGGGCCCCGCGCGCCCTCCATGACCCAAGGCCGCGGCAGGCTGGCGCCTCCAATGCGCGCATCGATAGGAACCTAACTGAGAGCCGGCGCTGAT